TATAAATCTATGCCCTGAATTATAAATCTAACGATACCAGTGTCTCCAGGATGCTTCTTGTGACGAACTGAACCTCTTCACAGGTTCTTGGAGGGGCCTGCTGGTCAGCCTCTTGCCTCAGGACTATGGGCCCTGCAATATACCTTGCCCAATGCACTTTAACCCCTTAAGGACCAAACTTCTGGAATAAAAGGGAATCATGACATGTCATACATGTCATGTGTCCTTAAGGGGTTAAAAGGCTCTGTTCATGTGAGGTATGTACTTTTGTACTCCAGACAGAGAGGCCGATTAAATTAAGACTTCCATGAAATTTCTGTACCCATGAACTGATTTGGGTGATTTTTGGATATGTTGGTCACCCAGATCAGGGCTATCAGGGGATGTAATAATTGTGGGAATTGTATATGTTTTTGGGGTACCTTTGGGGTTTTGTAAAATGTGTTTGTTCTGCCTGGAGATAATTAGGTTAATGCAGTATCTGCCTCAGTTATCTCACAGGCAGAGATGAGGGATTGTATGTTTGTACTGGGAGTGTCACACTTTGTAACCTTGTTGTTATTTGTGTCCCTGTCCCCAACAAGGTCCATGTCGGCGTACACCTTGCTTGGGGACTTGCATAAAAGGCCAGTGTGGCTACCATTCAACCATTCCTGCTGTACCCTCAACATTGAGCCTAGCCTCGTGTTTGTAGGGACCTGCTTTACAAGCTTTATCACTAGCTCTTGTAAGAGTTTTACAACTATACCTGCTATATTCTCTTGGAGGAGAGGTTCACCCACTGGAAGCTGGATCCTGGTCTTGGGTCCAGGGTGGGTAGAGGATGGCGAGACCCCAACCAAGCTGTGGCAGTTCGTGGGGACTACAGTGGTTATGCTGTCTGGTGGAGTGCTCAGAATCCTCAGTGAGCACTAGGAGCATTGACTGACGAAGGTGGGATTGCTTCCTAGTGCGAGAAGCAGCATCCTGGAGACACCGGTTGTGGATTGTACAAATGGAGGGATAGAGATAACTACTGTGCAGCATCCCTATCTACAGCAGTATGGAACCAGCTAGTTCCTAGACAGCGTTCCTATACGAGGCGGAGAATGACCCGGACTGAAAGGATACGGTCCGGAAAAATGTCTGGTATAAGGCCCTGGAGGGGATGCACAGCGTCGGCGGGGCGAAAATCTCCCCCGTGAAGAGCAGCGGCGACAGATGCAAGTGACCCTGCGAATGCCTTTCCTGGGAGAGCAGCCCCTGGTCGAGTGGGTGACGGAGCTCAAGAGCCTGGTAAGGAAGGTGATTTGGCTGGAGGACGCCTACCAGGTCCTATGGTTGGATACGGTGCAGCATACCCCCTGGATTGCTGAGCACGACAGGCCCGAGGGTCATGATTACGATAGCCCTGGTTTACTATGGGATACATTGGAGGAGGACATTGACTTCGACAGCACGGAGGGTTCTAGATTATGGGACATCTATGACTACAAGTTGGACATGCATGTTCAGGTTGACTTTGACGAGGTGAAACAAGACTTGACCCACCTGGTAACAATGGAGTTGGAGCTGGAGTAGGACTACCAACACCTGCTCCGCTCAATTCGGCCCCAATATACCCGGCAGGCAGACCCAGATCTGCAACCCACAAATGGCAGGTGGAGATGGGACCGAAGACAATCTACTGGCCATTCAGGGATGCTGGGCAGCCTGCCCAGATCCCCAGCTACAGGCGGAGTTACCGGGAGTGTAAACGGTCGGTCTCACTCCCCAGCGGCATTGCACAACACAGGGAGAGGACACGGTTGGTCTCACTCCCGAGCAGCAGTGTGCCGTACAGGGAGCAGAAGGTGTTGTCCTTCCTCCCCAGCAGTAGAATGTGGTATTGGGAGAAGAGACAGTCGGTCTCTCTCCCTAGCTGCAGGGCAAGTTATTGGGAGTGGTGACGGTCGGTCTCACTCCCCAGCGGCAGTGTGCATTGCAGGGAGAGGAGACAACCAGTCTCTCTCTCCAACAGCAGCTGGAGATACCGGGAGAGGAGACAGCTGGTCCTTCTCACCCCTGACCCCAATGGTCTCTGGGCCAGAGCTACAGGGATGCTGGACTGCCGGTCCAGATCCCCAACCAACACCACAGAAGGCCAGGAGGAGGAGGTAGGCAATCCCTCCTCTCAACAGCAGACTTCCAACCTGGTGCTGGGGTTAGTGGAGGAGACGACAATACCCACTGACCCTATCCCAGCAGAAGAGCTGGCATCAGCGCAGAGCGCCACTGGCCTCTGCCCTACCTGCCCCCTTGTTACAGGGCAGGACTACATACTAGCCTCCCCAGCAGAAGCGCTGGCACCAGGGCAGAAAGCACTTGGCCTCTGCCCTTCCCTTTGTCCAGGGCCTGAATATCTGCAGGCCACCACAGCAGAAGCGCTGGCAACAGGGCAGAGCGCAGTTGGCCTCTGCCCTCCCCTTGTCCTTGATCCAGGATCTGACGACCCTTTGATCCATCCAGCTGAAATGCTGGCTGCGTGGCAGAGCACCGCTGGCCTCTCCCTACTGGGTAACCTCGACTCCTTGCCTGGGAACACAAGGGAGATCGAAGGTGATGGACACCTACCCAGACATACAGGACAAGGTCGGGCAACAGAGATGTACAGGTCAAGTGCTTGGTTGTGGGTGGGCTGCCAGACTAACGGGTTCTTGGAGGGGCATGCTTGCCAGCCTCTTACAATGTGACTATGGCCCCTGTGATAAAACTTGGTTTAAATGCCTATTTGTGCCTTTTGGGACTTATACCAGGAACCCGGTCGGGGTGCCAGGTGGTCCAGCACACCTGGTTAGTCTTACCTTGGAGGGAAGAAATTTGAAGAACTGAATCTCGTCAAGGGTTCATGGAGGGCGCTGCTGGCCAGCCTCGTGCCTCAGGGATATGGCCCTGCAATATACCTTGCCCAATGCACTTTAAAAGGTTCATGTGAAGTATGTACTTTTGTACTCCAGACAGAGAGATCGACCGTTAGCCCTAATTCTCTGGAACTGTTTTGGGCATGAGACCATTCATGCGGTTAATCAAAATGTGACTTCCATAGAATTCCTGAACCCTTGAACTGATCTGGGTGATTTTTGTATATGTTGGTCACCCAGGTCATGGATATCAGGGAAGTGGGGATATTATGTGTTTTTGGGGTACTTTTAGGGTTTTATAAAAATGTGTTTTTCTGTATACAGTATCTGACTTAATTATCTCCCAGGCAGAGGGGAGGAATTGTATGTTTGTATATAGGAGTGTCGTGCATTTAAACTCTATTGTCATTGGTCTGTGACTTTGTATTATAGTTCCCCACAAGGTCCATGTGGAAGTGCCCCTTGCACTTCCACATGGACCTATAAGGCCAGGTGTGGCTACCATTAAACTGAGTTTGTTTTACCCTTCATGAAGTCTAGGCTCATGTTTGAGGGATTGGAGAACTATATTCACTCTTGGGATCACAATACTCCCCGGAGTATAATCACTAGCTTTTAGAGCTGTTCCTGCTATACTATCTGGAGTAAGAGAAGTTCCCCCATGGGAAGCTGGATCCTGGTTTTGGGTCCAGGGTGGGTGGAGGACAGCGAGACCGCAACAAAGCTGCAGTGATTTGTGGGGTTAACGGTGGTTATGATGTTCCAGTGCAGTGCTTATGCTGCTTGCAAGTACTAGGAAGCAGCGAGTGATGGAGGTATCTGGTCGGGGTGCCAGGCGGTCCGTCAAATTGGTGGAAGCGGAGGGGTGGCTTCCTAGGAGTATAGAAGTGTGACTGACTGTCTGGCAGCCTGACCGTAGAATCAGGCTGTGCGGTTTACTTCGGGGATTCGAAGTGAAATATAAAATACTGAACGTATAGCTTCGGGAGTAGTCTCCATTCATGTCTCTTGTTCGGGAGTTTAGTCTTGCCGAATGCCGTCCGACTACCGTTCGAATAGTAGAACATCCGTGGAAGGAAAGTAGTAAGCGGTGTTCGTGCTGTTGAATATCCGATTTGAGTTCCATGTGCTCAATGACCAAACACCGCTCATTGTGCTTGCGGCTTAAGATAGCCGCCGCCGCCACCTGTTCGAATGCCGTTTCGAGAGTTCAGGAGTTCGAAGTGCCACTTCGAACCACTTCAGGAGTTCGTAGTGCTGCTTCACAAACAGTGTCCTTAACCCCAGTTATTACAGGGCCATAGTCACAGGGCAGGAGGCTGGAAGTAGGCTCCTCCAGGAGCACGTGGCAAACTCATGTAAAAAGGGGAGTTTGTCACAAACAGTATTCACTGAAGACTTAGCGTGTTTTGTTTTTTTAAATGACCATTGCAGAAGAAGAATCAGTTTAATTGATATGCTTTTGTGAAAAAGTTTTTAATGACTTTTTTTTTTTTTTTTAAAGAAATGGAGACTGGGTGAGCATATAACGGAAAAGGGAAGGAAGTTCCACAGGAACAGTGCAACCCTAGAGAAGTCTTGAAGGTGAGCATCAGAGGTAGGAGTACGAACAAAGGATAGACCTATGTCTTTGGCAGAGAGTAAGGGCCTAAATGGGACATACTTGTGCATTAGGGAGTATAGGTAGGTGGGAGTAGCATTATGTAGAGATTTGAAAGCAAGAACCAGATTTTTAAATTGAGCCCTATATATTACAGTAAGCCAATGCAGGGACAGAGAGGGGTGAGGCATGGGAGGTGAATTCAAGCCATTTAGTCCAAATACACGCACGGAGACTTTTACATGGCAAGCAGGCTCCTCCAGGAACTCGTGGCAAACTCACTTGAAAACAGGAGTTTGTCACAGACTGGATTCAATGCTTCTCACCAGGGCGATTGGATTAAATGCTTTTCACCAGAGGGACTGGATTAAATGCATCTCATTAGAGGCTCTGGATTCTAGGTGTCTTGCCAGAAAGACTGGATTTAAAGGGATTCTATAGTGCCAGGACTACAAACTCTTTTTCCTGGCACTATATGGTCTTTAGGTCCCCCTCACCCTCAGGGTTCCACTCTTACCTTTCTCCAGGGCCGGGCTCTCCTCCCTCTTCCGTCGTCAATGCTGAATGCGCGGCAAGAACCGCGCGCACATTCAATCAGTCCATAGGAAAGCATTGCTTAATGCTTTCCTATGGAGGTCAGCGTCTTCTCACTGATTTTCACAGTGAAAAGTGCGGAAGTGCCTCTAGCGGCTGTCAAAGAGACAGCCACTAGAGGCTGGATTAACCCATATGTAAACATAGCAGCAGTTTCTCTAAAACTGCTATGTTTACAGCTGCAGGGTTAACCCTAGATGGAACTGGCACCCAGACCACTTCATTGAGCTGAAGTGGTCTGGGTGCCTATAGTGGTGCTTTAACTCCTAAATGGCAGAGAATTAAGCAGTGAGACTGCAGGGGCATAATCTATATATCAAAACTGCTTCATTAAGATAAAGTTGTTTGGTGACTATAGTGTCCCTTTTAAGTATATTTAATTTGCCCCCCATTTTATTTATGAGAGAAAAGCTTGCAGAGTACATGGGATAGAGACTCAAAGGTGCAGGGGCTTTATCATCATTTATATAGCACCTGTATATGCCACAGAGCAGATAGAAAACATCAAATAAGAACCATAAACAAGACAGACCAGTTAAGGCCCTGCTCAAAACAACTTATCTGTAGTAGCCTCAATGACTTTAGTTTCACTCACCAGCAGCAGAGCTCTCCTTGTCCTTCCTTGGTGGATGCACATCTAGTGTGAGTACAAGACACGTGGCTGATCTTAAGGTCACATTATTGCAGCACTAAACCAAGTATCTATTGTTAAGGGATCACACTATTCCACATTGACTCAGACTGACAGTTTTGCTGGTTGGTTTCTTGTGACACTCAGAAGTCGGTGAGACATTTCAGTGTGACTGTGATCCATGATGTTCATGGATGGGATGGAGCTTGATCCAGGACACTCAAGGAGAGCTAGCAAGCTAAGAAAACCACAGATTTTAAAGATTTATACATTGCCATGAGTGAATTGTGTGGGAACCAGGGTGGAAGGAGTTTGATTTACCTGTTTACTGTAGCAAGGTTATCTGATCTAAACTGTGCCTTTTAACAAGAAATAAAATTTAGTTCAGTATATTTATGTAACTTTTTTTTGCAGTTTTCTATTTTGAACAGTGTCAGAGGTAGGAGGAATTCTTTGTGAAATATACCCCATGGTTACTGTGAATTCTTGCAATAAGTGCCATTACCTTTTTCATAAATGGATCACAAACTAAAACACCTGCATTTCATACAATTACATGTACACAATGTGCAGCCTAGTGGCCACAATTAGTAACTGCATTTAGATATTTCACGGAGAAAGATACATGGCTGGAGCAGGTAGGTCAGATGCAATTTTATTTTACTTTGTTAGACACGGTACATCATTCTCCATCGCTGCAGTTTCGGTCCAAGGCAGGAAGTGAAGTTTATCTCCATCTAGTATCCATTCATCTGGCTACAACTGGACCTCACTCATCCTCAATCTGTCCTCTCTACTACTAGCACAAGGTATAGTACCAACCACCCATCAATACTTCCCTCTAACATTACCTTCAGCTATTCTCCCATTTCTACTGCTCTGTAAGACCCAGTACCTCCTAACTCCATCAGCTCAACCGTGCTTTCTACTAAATCCTCCCCTAGGACCATGTGTCCTAATCCTATCTGGCACAGGGAGCCAACATTGCCTTCTACTAGCTCGCTCCCAATCATCCGCTGGATCCCAGTGCCCACTTCTACTAGCCATCACAATCGCACAACGCACTGTGGCCCAGCGTTGCCTTCTACTAGATTGTTCCCAATCTCCTCCACTGAATCCCAGTGGCCACTTCTACTAGCAGTCACAATCCCATCTGGCACTGTGGCCCAGCATTGCCTTCTATTAGAGCGCTCCCAATCTCCTCCACTGAATCCCAGTGCCCACTTCTACTAGCAGTCACAATCCCATCTGGCACTGTGGCCCAGCATTGCCTTCTATTAGAGCGCTCCCAATCTCCTCTGCTGAATCCCAGTGCCCACTTCTACTAGCAGTCAATCTCTCAAGGCACTGTGGCCCAGTGTTGCCTTCTACTAGATCGCTCCCAATCTCCTCCACTGAATCCCAGTGCCCATTTCTACTAGCCATCACAATCGCACAACGCACTGTGGCCCAGCGTTGCCTTCTACTAGATCGCTCCCAATCTCCTCCACTGAATCCCAGTGCCCATTTCTACTAGCCATCACAATCGCACAACGCACTGTGGCCCAGTGTTGCCTTCTACTAGATCGCTCCCAATCTCCTCCACTGAATCCCAGTGCCCATTTCTACTAGCCATCACAATCGCACAACGCACTGTGGCCCAGCGTTGCCTTCTACTAGATCGCTCCCAATCTCCTCCACTGAATCCCAGTGCCCACTTCTACTAGCAGTCACAATCGCACAACGCACTGTGGCCCAGCGTTGCCTTCTACTAGATCGCTCCCAAACTCCTCCTACTCTATCCCGCTACTTTTCCTTTCATCAGGATCCAGCACCCCCCATCACTAGCTTGCCTTGTGTCTGCCAAAATCAAGCACACCCCTCCCTCATGCCATTGGTCTCTCTTCACTTTCACTGTCCCTTCACCTAGCAGGTTCCACCTCTAAATAAAGCCCAAACTTGTGCTGCAATAACTTAAATTCCCCTCCTGCACCGTTTCAGTCCCAGGCATCTGACCGTGGCATGATGCAAGGAGTGGAAATTACATTCATGACATCAAATGTCAAATGTCAAACAGTGTACAAAATAACAGCAAAATTAATGATCAAAATAAAAAAAAATATATAAAAATAAAACAAACCATTATCGGTACAACCAATGAGCGGACTCCATAATGAATCCCAGAATTTCTGGAGTAAATTCTTCTGTGAAACTCCATACGGAGACGGCATGGTCACTGCTGAGCAGAATTTGGCACAAAAAGTTTTGTAAAATGCCACAATGCTCTGCGTCATCTACAGACACTTCCCTGCAATGTGCTGCCATGGAGCAAATAAGACACATTAAAATAAACAACAAATTAAAATTAAATAAAGTGCAGCTCTCCAAAGGATACCTGTGACTCTAGCCCCCATAAAGGACACCCTGTGATACTTGGCCCCCAAATAGGACTCCCTGTGATTTCTTTGGGAAGATATATTTATATAAACTCCTTGTGTTATGTTGGGGAGATTCTGGGGCTCCCATTGGAAGATACATATAGTCCCCAACACCCATCTCTCTCATCACATTAAATCTGTCCCTGTAAGACTCTGCACCTGATTAGGGGTTTAGACCAAGATTAAATTGTTATTACTAAGAATATAGTGAGGGACATCTTCATACCCTGTGTATAAATCAGTGAAAAGTAAGCAATTGGTGCCAGCGTACAAGGGTATCATCCAATCAGTGCCAGTGTAAGGGCCAACCCTCGCGGAGGACAATGTTTACAGGTTCTTCTCAGGCCTCTCAGTTAGAAAGGTCCATATGGGGACTGGTAAAAGAGTCAAAGGAATCCATACGACGTAATCACCACCGCCACTATCTATGCCATGGATTCAATGACAGGAGTGCGGAGCTTAGTCTGTAAACAAGCTATGACAATACAGGGTTAAAGTGCACTCACCATCCGTCACCAGAGACATTCAGCAGGCTCCAATGTGCTCTGCTGGGCTGGTGATGGCATAACACTCCTGCATTACTAACGCCAGAAGCTAGAGGGCACTCAAAGCGAGGTAAGAGGGCAGCTGCTGGGCGGGTAGGCGGTATATATGGAGTAAGGTAGGGCAGAAAGGTCACAAATACAACTAGACAATGCTAAACTATCCACAAACAGCTGGGCAGCAGTGGGTACAGATCCAAAGAGTGAAATCCCCTGGCACATCAGGCATATTGTACAGCTGGGTATACTTTGTATCTGGCAATAGGATGAGCTGAGTTGGCACGGCTGGTTTGCAGAAGACAAGAAGGAAACATCACTTCAGGCTGAATACAGGAGCAGGCGGACATAGAACGTCATTAGAAGGAGAAGAGCAAGGAGAATGCTGGCTGGACTTTCTCGGTCTCCCCCAAATCACTGGAGGTAGCGGTAAACCTTGAAGCAGTGATTCCCGGAATCTGCTACCACAACATGCCCGTCAGAGGTGAGTGCCAAACCCTGGGGCCCATACAGGGGGTCTGCCATGGTATTTATATAGGACAAGAAGGAGCCAGAGCTGTCAAACACCTGAAATATACAGGGAAAGAGGAAACAAAGTGACCCGGTACAGAACAAGGTGAGGAGAGAGGGGAGGGGAAAAAAGGAATAATGAGGAAAAAAAAAAAAAAGAGTGCGGTCAAGGAGAGTGAAGGTCTATACCCCACTACATGAGGAGAGTGAAGGTCTATACCGAAAGGGAGAGAAAGAAACAAACACAGACATGAGCTTTATATTGGGGTGGGGAAGGGCCAGAGAGGGAAATAGGCCAGGGTAGGGGAACAGACGCACACAGAGGAATAGGCCAGGGGAGGGGAACAGACCCACACAGAGGAATAGGCCAGGGGAGGGGAACAGACCCACACAGAGGAATAGGCCAGGGGAGGGGAACAGACCCACACAGAGGAATAGGCCAGGGGAGGGGAACAGACCCACACAGAGGAATAGGCCAGGGGAGGGGAACAGACCCACACAGAGGAATAGGCCAGGGGAGGGGAACAGACCCACACAGAGGAATAGGCCAGGGGAGGGGAACAGACCCACACATGGGAATAGGCCATGGATGGGGATTGGGGGGGTGGGGGAATAAGCCCACACAGAGGATTGAGGGGTGGGGGAATAAGCCCACACAGAGGATGGGGGTGGGGAAGCCCACACAGAGGATGGGGTGGGGGAATAAGCACACACAAAGGATGGGGGTGGGGGAATAAGCACACACACAAGGATGGGGGTGGGGAATAAGCACACACAAGGATGGGGAAATAAGCACACACAAAGGATGGGGTGGGGAATACACACACAAAGGATGGGGAAGGGAATAAGCAGCACACACAAAGGATGGGGGGAATAAGCCCACACAGAGGAATAGGGGGGTGAGACCCTCACAATGGGAACTGAGGGTGTAGAGATAATCATTTAAATGAGTGACATGGATACATACAGATAGTGATATAAACAGTAAGAGAAGTCGAACGATCCCCTTTTATTGAAACTGAATAACATTGCACAAAAAATGAATATTGGCTCTTACCAAACGCAACATACTGGCAGAAATGCTGGAGGGAAATTTTGTGTTAAGTTCTCCAATTATTAAAAAATAGAATATAAATGTCACTATAACGCACAGATTTTATGAGGATAATACTGTAAATTATATCCTGTCAGAACAAATAATGTGTCAAAACTACGTAGAGAACGGGGCCTCTAATCTTATTATATAGCCTGTAGAAGATATACACTGCATCTGGCTTCAATTCATTTTATCATTCTGATTATGCGATTCTCCACCTTCCCATTCCTCCCGTCCTCCCCATGCTATCCACCTTCCCATTCCTCCCGTCCTCCCCATTCTATCCACCTTCCCATTCCTCCCCAGCCCCCCACGCTATCCACCTTCCCATTCCTCCCCAGCCCCCCACGCTATCCACCTTCCCATTCCTCCCCAGCCCCCCACGCTATCCACCTTCCCATTCCTCCCCAGCCCCGCCCCACCTTGGCGCTATCCACCTTCCCATTCCTCCCCAGCCCCCCACGCCTATCCACCTTCCCATTCCTCCCAGCCCCCCACGCTATCCACCTTCCCATTCCCAGCCCCCACACCATCCACCTTCCCTCCCCAGCCCCCACGCCATCCACCTTCCTATTTCTTTCCTGCCCTCCACACTATCCACCTTCCCCCCAGCCCCCACGCCATGCCTTCCACCACCATTCCTCCTGCCCCCACACCCACACTTACCATTCCTCCCCTGCCCCCACACTATCCACCTACCATTCCTCCCTGCCCCCCACACTATCCACCTTACCATTCCTCCCCTGCCCCCACACTATCCCCTTACCATTCAGTCCCCCATGATATCTACCTTCCTCCCCTGTCCTCCCCATTATCCACTTTTTTTCCTCCCTGCCCCCATCCACCTTCCCATTCAACCCTCCCCCCACTCCCCTACATCCCCCACGCTATCCACCTTCCCCCAACTATTGGCAATCCCCCGCCCCCTCACTGTTCCCCTTTCAAATTTCCTCCTCCCTATTGCTATTTGCATCTCCATTCCACCCCTCCACCAATGATATCATCCAATGCTCCTAATTTCACCTCCATGAACAGCAAATTCTAATATACCCTTTACCCAACATTAATTAGACCTTCAATTCATTGCCTAAATTCTGCCCTCCTACATACCTGGATTCTGCTATTGCCCCAGTCAGCCACTATAATGTTTCCATTGGAATCCACCGCAACTCCTGTGGGGGCATTAAACTGTCCGTTCCCTTCCCCATGGGAACCAAATTTAAAGAGGAACTCTCCGTCCGCACTGTAAACCTAGCCAGGGAGAGAGAGAGAGAGAGAGAGAGAGAGAAAGATGCATTATCACGCTGCCCTATAGGATGTAAGAAGCAGTAAAATGCGGCACACAGAACATAGTGTGACGAGACCAATCTCGCCACTGTGCATTGGAGGAGCCTGGTTGCCCGCCTGTTGCCTTTGGATTATGGCCCCATGTTAAAAGGCTTGATTTTCCCCTGCAAAGACATGAAAGCCGGGTCATTTGGTGCTTACCCTGTTTGAGCAGTGATACCCCAGATAGCTTTGCCATGGAGCCCATTCGTATAATGAAAGACTATGGGAAAGACTTTGGCTCCATGGCAATTGAACTGTATGTGTGTTGTCTGAGCGCCATTGAGTAATAATGTGCGCTCAGACCTAAGCTATCTGGGCATATGTTGCATGTCTGTATTTTATGTCATAAATGTAACCTTGTGTGTTTTATTGTATTTTACTGTCTTTTTGCTGCCTTGTGTTCAATGGAGTTTTGCCTTTCCTTGGAGATAATTGGATTACTTCCCATTTATCTCCAGGATAGAACACTCTGTGGAACTGGTTCTGGGCAGAAAAGCCATGCTTCATTTGGTCACAAAGGACTACGATCTATCTTTTGAACCACTGGACCAATTTGTATGACGTACCAATTTTGACGTATGTTTGTATTTGGAGTATGCAGATTCTGAAAATGTAAGTTTTATGTGAATGTGATGCATACTTTTAAAGTTATGAATAATGTGGAAAAACTGTATTTCTCTGCCGGTGATAATTACATTACTCATTGTTTAAGGTAATTGTATCACAGACAGAGGGGAGGATTTTGTGTGGGAGTGTCTAGGTATTGTATGTGTTTATTGGTTGTTTTTCAAAACCCTGTGGGTGGTACTAATGTGTATATAAGAACAATAAACCCACAGCTCTGTCTGTTCCTGCTTGACCCTCAAAACGGAGCCTTGTCTCGTTCTTGGGGGGATTTATTGTATGCTGTTCCAGTGTGACTGCTAGGAGTGTAAACCTATTTGTATGGTTTTTCCTATTGAGCTGTTTACAGCATTCATATGGTTCCGGTTCGGCTGTTTACGGCATTCATATGCTTTTCCTGTTCAGCGGATTGGTGTTCTGCAGTAGCTGTGCCTGTGTCTCTGTAAGGGAAGATCTACTAAATGGAGGTTTAACCCTTTTATGCCCTGGGGTGTCGTTACACATAGACTGGAGACCCCGGCCGGGAATCGGCTTGCCTCTCCCAGAGACAGCTAAGCACTGCTTGGATAACATGGCGGTGGGCTATGTCACTGTTTAAAGGCACAGTAGTGCTATCTATCCAAAGAGAGTAATTTGTCCAACGTTTGCAATCACTGACACAAGTTCCAACAATATATATTTATTCATTTATTAACACTTTATTTAATGATGGCACGAGCAGGTAACGGGCTGCACAGCTGGCCCTGGATATTGTGCGTCCAGGAAACTAAGCTTTGAATTAAACAGTCTCTTGTGTGGATATTGTGTCTTAGCTGATTTTCAAGAACAACGTGTATAGACTATAGCAAACATCATTTACAAGAGTTTAACAGTGTCTCATACCTCGGCACCCTTAATACACTCTTATACACTGTCAAACTCGGCTTTTAAAGAGGTGGATTGTGTATCTGTTAACCTGGTCGCATTCTTTCCACATTCCCATTACAAGACAATGGAGAGGGGAATTTTATGACAGTGCCTTGAGGGAAAAACAGGAGCCGTGTGAATCTACGACTGGCAGGGGTTAAACCTCTACTAGACAGTCATCAGATGCTACAAAGGCTACAACGAACAGGCTTCAAGCCTTCCAGGCAGGCCAACAAATTTATAGGGGAGAGAGGTCACGAGTTCCTCTCTCTTCCTAGGTGTGCAGGGAAAGAAAACCAATCATTCACTGTGAAATTAAGAATGTACGTGTCCCCTCAGCATTAATGTACCAGCTAAATTGATTACATAACCACAGATAAAGATTGTGGAGTCAGGAATTGTTGGATGCGGTAAAAGTAGTTTGGGAACATAGCGGCTTAGAATTATCAGGCACGTTACAGCTGGACATTTCAAGGCTTGCCTATATAACATGGCGATTTTATTACGAGTTAATTTCCAAGGTACTGGGCTCATGTCTGACACAAGAAGTGCAAAGGCTTTTTGTATATTGCGTGATACATTGCATCACCGTGTGATAAGACTTGGTGCTGGTTGTAGGGTTTCAGTTTAATGGGATGCCTGGGATGGTTACTGCCAGTACTGTGCGGCAAACTTAGCCACTACGGACTGTTATGGACTTTCCTGCAAGAGACTGTGTTCGGGACTTTAAATGGCCATATCCCCTATCACTAGTCTATGGGGATACAGCACCCATTTCTCAAACAGTAATCTGCAACACTATTCGGGAAACTAATACCGAATGAGAGACCACCCCGGAGAGGTCGTGTGTCTCAATAGCCCAGTTGCAACATTGTTTCAAGCTGTTAAGTGGTTTCGTATGTGTGGCCGCCGTTCATGTACCAAACACGTGGCGGCGGCCATCTTTGTTCGCTAAGAGTTGAGCGGTGTTTGGTCGTCGAGTGCCTGTAACTAAAATTGGCTACTTGATTTCCAAACACCGCTGGACTTCCATAGCGTTCGGGAAACTCGCTCTTTCAGGGAATTAAAGCATTTCATGTGTTCTCCCTTTCCAGACCTGGTTCACTAAAAACGGTTTTCTTCGTTCGGCTATTTCGGCAGGGATCTGAGCGGTAATTCGTGAGATTGTACATTCAGATCCCTGCAATCTAATGAGGGAAAATCTGTTGGAAATTGCTTAAGTTATAGATTTTAATGTAAATTACATTTTACTGTACCTACTGTTAATGCAATTATATGTGCCTGATAAGGTCATCTTTGTCCTTGTGCAGCAGGGGATGCTGGGAAACGACCTTGCATGGTCAGTTTCCCACACAGTCCATCTGATTAAAGCCCCAGCTGTCCCAGTCTGGAAACCCCTTGCAAGGGGCACAGTATAAATTTGGTGAGTTTTAAATAAAGCCCTCCGTTGACTCCCAGACTATTTGTCATCAAGTCATTGGGGAAAAGGGATTATACTGCGCTACCTGTATCCTGTATGCTGAATCCTGACTACCAGCGGAGATATCGTGCATTAACCCTTGCTACTCCGCTACATACTGGATCACAAATCTTCACTAATTTTGTACATTGCGTGATACAGCACCGTGTGATAAGACTTGGTGCTGGTTGTAGGGTTTCAGTTTAATGGGATGCCTGGGATGGTTACTGCCAGTACTGTATGTAACAAAACCCTGCCATGTGCCTGGGAATGTTCCTGTCACCGGCCCTTTAAGAACTAGCCAGGGACATACACGGGAAGAGAGACCTCGGATTAAAAGGTTATATATTTTTCTTCAGTAAAGGACATCAAGCTGCTTACAAGCTGGAGGTTTTTAGTTACTTTCGGGAGGATTATCTACAAAGCTTTTCGGGACTTTTAAAGCATTCGTGCAATTGGGGCACCTAACACTGTAGGAACACTGCATTCATCATACGAATGCAAACTACCGAACACTGGACCCCCCGATACATAATTGTGCTGCAATTTACCTCCCTGATCGGCGAATCCATGTAATTGTAAACACACAACCGCTTTATTGAAGTCCCTGGTTGGCCACCATTTCGGTACTTTTTACACGTGGCCGCGGCCATCTTGACTCCCGTACAGCGGTGTTTTGCCGTCGAGTGTCTGGAACTAAAATCGAACATTCGAGTAGGCGAACAACGCTGAAACCTCCAGACTACCAGAAATCTGTGCCAAAACTACCGAACGCCCTGCCGTTCGGTAGAAAGACTACGTAACACATGGATTCTATCGAACATCAAGATACTCACGGATGCCATGCCTTTCGGGACTTTTTTACCCACGAACAAGGACCGACCGCAAGGCCAAAACTTATGGAACTGTTTTTGGCACTTGTGCCTGTGCGGTCGGTCAAAACTTTAAAGTGCCATATCTCCCGAACCCCTGAACCGAATGAGATGATTTTTAAATATGTTGTTTCCCCAGATATTTTGGGTACATCCAAAACTTGGGGAAAAATTTAACTTTGTTAATTGTGTTACAGGCTTATCTGAGGGGAGGAGATGTGTGGGATGTACCTTATGTTTTATTGGTTGCTGTGTTAATTATGTGGGTGTCTCCTTGCATGGGCAGCATCACATAAAAGGAGAGTATCTGCCATTAAAATTCAGTTCTTCTTGACCCTTCAAAATGTAGCCTTTTCTCGTTCTTGAAAGGGGATATGCAGCTTAATCACCTAGCTCTTAAGAGCTCTGCCTGACTCTTTCCTTGGATCCAGTGAATGGGAATAAGCAACTCCACCACTACACAGCGACTTGCCGGGCAAAAAGGATGTCTCAAACGGCTGATACCCTCTTACTAACTGGGTAGCCGTTACACTGTATTAAAGGATCACTCATTTTGTACATTGCGTGATACAGCACCTTGTGATAAGACTTGGTGCTGGTTGTAGGGTTTCAGTTTAATGGGATGCCTGGGATGGTTAATGCCAGTACTGTATTAAAGGATCACTCATTCTGGAGTGTTTGGCCTAATAAACTGTGTTTTTTGATTCCTGTTTAGTAAAGTTTTGAAAGGAAGAAAATACCCAAACAAGTCTTTTTCCAGCAATCTCCAATGTGATGTCACAACACTCTGTCCACTCTCTGCCCAATAAACAATAATCATTCCATATTGAAGAAGCCTTGCAGGCGAAACGCGTTTGTGGATATTTTATACTGTGTATTTTATTAAAGATTTTTTGGTCACCTTTTATTGTGCCAATCATCTTTTATACACTTTGTACTTTTTTACCTGGCATTTTTATCATTCTGGACTCCAAGTAATCCTAGGTGGGGATCAAACCACCAACGCTGGTCTCTCACAGACTGTTTCCGCTGGTAGTCCAGGTGTGGCTCAGGAACAAGCAATAATCCCAGACACAGTACCCACAGTGAGAGAATAATCCAGCAGCATAACAAGCACAACCACAGTAAAATCCAATAGTATCCCATCACCTTTCCCAATAACTGGACGACACACAGTACCAGGAGCAGAACTGAACTAACTTTTAATCACACAACCCCTGCTTTTATGCAATGCTCCCATGCAAGGGAGCCACCCACAATAATTAGTACATTAACCAATAAAGTACAAGGTACAACCCACACATCTCCTCCCATCAGCTTATCAGTTAACAGAATTAAAATGTACATATTTTCCCCAAGTTCTAGATGTACCCCAAATACATATGGTATCCCCTGATAGACCTGATCTGGGTGAATAACATATCCAAATATCACCCAGGTCGGACCAGGGGTTCAGGAGTTATGGGGGTTTAAAGTTTTGTGGAGGTCCCTTTAGGTCCACTGAAGCATGGCTTTCCAGCCCAAACCAGTTCCAAGTAGTCTGGCAGTGTGCCTGGGACAACGCCCTGCTGGAGAACAATGGGACAGGAAACGAGGGAGGGGTACACCTTGCTATACACAATCTATACACAGTCTAGTAGAAGTCCATACACTGTGCTTAAAGGGCCAATAGCCGCATAATAAAAATCCATCATGCCCAAATACTGTCTTTAAAGGGAAATACCCCCAGGGCCATAGTCACATGGCAGGAGGCGGGCAAGCAAGCCCCTCCAAAAGCTCATGGCAAACTCTCTTAAAGGGATGAGTTTGCTACAGCTATCATCAAGGAGCAGTTTGTCTGCTCCATTCTTGTGAGTACCATTTTATATATTTTATTTATTACTGTTTTACCCAGAGAGCACTATTGGTCGTCTCTTTATTATTCTCTTGGAGTGTTGAACATACCTTTGGCGCAGCCCTTATCTGTTTTTATTCTTGTTGTACTTTAAGGGTTTTTGAGGGATTCCATTATAGGGTTGCTGCCTCACCTTGTTGTTAAGCACTTACTCTCTCTCTCTTGATTTTTATTCTGCCCAATAAACAGCTGAATAAGTCAAAGCAAAGTTTTCTACTACAAGTCCCAGAAATCCCTGTTCTGAGGAAAGGATATAAAATTATAGCTGCAAAACTATTGTTCATTTTAGTTTAATTTTATCTCCCCATGTTCCACTCTTTGACGGAGAAATAGAGGCACTTTTTTTGAAACTATTCATGAATTCTTTCTATGGGGAGGACTGCTTGTGTGACATGTTCCATGTGATGGAACGCTGGCACTCCGACTGAGTACCTCCGCCAATCGATGCTCCTAGTGCTCACTGAGGACTCCAAGCACTCCAACCGACACCATCAGCACTGCAGACCCCACTTCCAGCAATGCAACTGCGCCGGGGTCTCTGCTGTCTCCACCCACCCTGGACCCAAGGCCAGGATCCAGCTTCCAGTGGGTGAACCTCTCTTTCCCCAGAGAGCAGGAACAGGAACAAGCTCTTAGCAGAACTTAGTGATCATACCCTGGGGAGTATAGTTATTATAGCAATCCCCAGACTGTATTTCTCCAATCCCCCAAACATGAGCCAAGGCTTAATGCTGGAACAAGACTGATTTACTGGCACACAGAACTCACAATTTATGCAACACAAAACTCCTCCTCTGGGCCAGGCTAGATAATGGAGTTTTCTACAGAACACAAAGCTCAATTATCTGCTGGCCAGAAATAATACAGTTTTTACAGCATTCATAACTTCTAAAATATACATCACATTCACATAATGCTCCAACCCCCACTCCATTGAGACCAGATGACTCAGGTCTGGCCCCAGGTCGTCCGCTCGGGGAAGATCCAGCAGGGTTTCCCTGATGTTGTGGATGTCCCAGAACCGAAACTCTGTGGGGCATCCAAAGTCATCGCCCTCCTCATAGGCCTCCCAAAGTCATCGCCCTCCTCATAGCCCGGGCCATTATAATCCTCTCCCTCGGGCAGATAGTGGTTAGTCATCGAGGGGTTGCGCTGGGTGGCGTACCACTTTAATGCCCGGTAAGCTGCATCTAGCCACAACTCCTAAATTAAATCCCAGAGTTCCAACAACCATTCATCCAAGGGTTGCTCCCCAAGGAAGGGGAGCGCAGGGCCTCGAGTACCTGGAACCGCTGCTCGTCACTGGTAAGGCTCTCTCCCCGCCGCCGTTGTACCTTTTCCAGGGCATCGTGTCACATCTCTCCAGTCCAGTATGCACTCCTTTGATACAGGCCCGTCCTGTTGGGCCAAGTGCTGCTGCAACCTCCAGCGAAACTCCTCTTCCATGTTGCTGTGGATAGGGACGCTGCCCGTAGCTAGCTCTATCCCTTGAGTTCCTCTGAAGCCAGGGTCGCTGCACAAGTGCTAGCGTTGCCCTCAATTATAAATCCGTAACTCCACACGTTACCGGTGTCTCCGAGCTGCTGGTCCTCGCACTAGGACGCCATCCCGCCGCTGCCACCAAATGTGACGGAACGCTGGCACTCCGACTGAGTACCTCCGCCAATCGATGCTCCTAGTGCTCGCTGAGGACTCCAAGCACTCCAACCGACACCATCAGCACTGCAGACCCCACTTCCAGCGATGCAACTGCGCCGGGGTCTCTGCTGTCTCCACCCACCCTGGACCCAAGGCCAGGATCCAGCTTCCAGTGGGTGAACCTCTCTTTCCCCAGAGAGCAGGAACAGGAACAAGCTCTTAGCAGAACTTAGTGATCATACCCTGGGGAGTATAGTTATTATAGCAATCCCCAGAGTGTATTCCTCCAATCCCCCAAACATGAGCCAAGGCTTAATGCTGGAACAAGACTGATTTACTGGCACACAGAACTCACAATTTATGCAACACAAAACTCCTCCTCTGGGCCAGGCTAGATAATGGAGTTTTCTACAATACACAAAGCTCAATTATCTGCTGGCCAGAAATAATACAGTTTTTACAGCATTCATAACTTCTAAAATATACATCACATTCACATAAAAATTATATATTCCCAATCAATCCATTCAGGGAAACAACATATCAAAAAATGGCATGAATCAGACCATGGGTTCAGAGGTTAGTAAAGTATCTTTTGGGGCCTGGCTGGCAGCATGGCTATCTGGCCCAAACTGGTTTTACAGGGCCCTCTAGCCTGGAGAAAATGGGGAAAGTAATCCAATTATCCAGGGATAGAAGCAGACTCCATTGAGCACATGTTCCAGGTAAAACACAAAAGGATATAAAAATACATAACTCCTATCATACTGAATTGAACGGGCCAAATCTCCCAGGGTCCATAGTCACAGGGCAAGAGGCGGGCAAGAAGTCCTCTCCAGGCACAAGTGGCGAAGGGCACTTCGTCACATTCCAGAAGCCCATTTTGGAGACTAGGAGTAAGCAACTGCTGCACGCTTGGAACTCAGAGACTCGCCACTTTCCGGTAAAACTTTAACACGCTGTAACTTGGGTGCAGATTCTCCGATCAGGGCGCTCGATGATGAGATTTCCAGGGATATATATTGCATCTGAGTATGGTGCACTGAGAGGGGGTTCTGACTGACATTTTGTGTGCTGTGCCTCTAGGATTGTGAAGCTGGGGATAAAGTAATAAAGTCCCCAGACAGAGTGGAGCTGGGGAGGGACAATGTTACTGTCCATTGCTTTGTATGGAGGGCCTCCTGCAGGCAGAGGTAACACTGTTCTGTATAAAAAGCTGGGTGCTTGCAATAAAGATCATTCAGACTCATCTAATGTGTGGGGGAAAGGCTATAGTCTCTGTTCTACAGGAAATCAAGCATTGGTGAATGAAGAACTCCAGGGTCCCTGGTAGCAGAGAGGAAGAAGTTTAAAATATGACCTAACCTCCCTACAAACATTGTGCACATGGGCAGTTTGGGATCTGCAATCTTTTTTAATAGAAAAATGAAACACAGATTAAAGCTTTGGCTGCATGTAGGCTTGCAATGTCACACTTTGAACGCAGCCTTAACCCTTGCAATGCAAGGTTAAACGTGGCCAATTATTTTGTCTTCATGAACTAGACTAGAGGCTCCTAACTGGCCCAGCTACTTTCTGATCTGGGGACTACTGAAACTGAATGCTGAAAATGTCCAGTCTTACAGTAGACTACAAATCTCCCCTTGTAACGTGACTGATTAGAATGGGGTGGGGAGACCTAGGCTAATTATGTCATGTCCAGAGATTAACATACAAATTTTACAATTACACTCCACATTATAGGAGTTACCTCCAACTTGAAGATGGCCTTTAAACCTTCTAGTAATAAAACCTATCTTGCTTGGTATACTTTCTGTAAGCAGTCCAGTTTCTAGAAATGTTTTCCTCCTCCTGTTCCCAACACAAAGCAATTCTGTTTACCACGAACAAACAAGGCTCTGTGACCACATGGACTAACGTCTGTGCAACTTTGGGGGAACACAGCGCTAGCATAAACTCTGTATATGACATTTAGAGATTGCGAGTACTCATGGATTATACAAACACATTCAAGTGATAAATTGGAGAGCATGGATCAGCTGTGAAACTGTACAAGCAAGCTTTAGAACTTACCTTGACCGAGTGGTTGTGAAAATCTGTCACTACAATTTCATTTTTGTTATTAACTGCAACAAAATGTGGCCCTGTGAAAAAGCAGAAACATACTTCCAAAATTACCACTCTACCAGTTCCAACCCACATTCCCATACTTCCCAAACTGCCCAACGCACAGTTCAGAAACCATTGCCAGATCCACACTCCAGACAAAAATCAGCAGGCCACCAGCATGCTGAGTATTCAGGAAATGTATTGTTGCATTCGGTCCACTTCACACCCTAATCTAGCAGTAGGGAACCTTTGGCACTCCATATGTTGTGGATTACATCTCCACTGATGCTTTTCCAGCATGATGGCTGTAGGAGGATTATAGTAAATGGAAGCCACAACAACTGGAGTACCGAATGATCCCTACTGCTGGTCTAGAACATCCGCACTCATCCTCTTAGGACCAGGTAATTTCCTTACCGTCCAGGCTTCCTGGCTGCTGCTTGTCACCAGGGCCACGACCTCCAAACCTGCCCACAAGTTTGCCGTTAGACTGGAAGATGAAGATGCAGCAGGACTTGTTATCCACCACTATGAGATGCCCGTTCCGGTCCACAGCCACTCCTTTAGGGCCCATGAGACGCCCAACTCCCACTTTGTTCTATCAAATAGGGTAAAAAAATAGTAAAGAGATATTTTGGTCAGCGACAGCCAGGCCATTCTTCCTACCTGTTTTTTGTGGAGATCTAGCCCCTATCCCAGATGACCAGCTTGGTCCACAGCTAACCTAGGGAAATACTTTACTAAAGCTAGGAGGCCCGCATGGAAAGCCCATAACAAATGTAACCACTAAACATCCTGTTGGCATACTTTCCAGTGTTATCAGAGCGAGAAGAGCAGGTATTAGGGCATATTGCTGCCGAGGATAGGAGATCAGGGAACAAGAACAATACGGACCAGAAGTGAACGGGTAAGATTAAAAGGACACTAAGCACTGTAACCACTTCATCACATTGAAGTTGTTAAAGTGCCAGAAGTCTCTTGTTTTCTAAGAATTAGTGACCCAAACACCTTCATGCTGCTCATGTTAATGCAGAAACAAAGGGTGACAATGAAAGCTGGCCTCACACTGCTGCTAGGAATTACTGTAATTAATTCCATCTCACAAGTACCTCCAGTGGGTCAAAAACAACTAAAAAAAAAAAGGAAACTGTATACTGTGAAAACCAAAATAAGAGAATACTCAAAAACGTCATATAATGAATGTATTCCCAATAGACAAAACCTAATAGTTCAGGCTGGAAGTATAAATATACATACTAGGGATTGAACGATTATTGGTCTGGCCAATATTCCGCATTTTCAGCAATATTTGTATCGGCCCATGAAGATACCGATATTGCAGACAGTGGGGGCCCGCACACTAAGGAAGCCCACCTGGTGGGCATTTGTAAGCAGAGCCTGGACAAGTTCTGTGGCCCTTTAATAGCGTGACCGCGTCCCTTGCTTTTCGGCAGCCGGCTGGGAGGTAGTGACAGCCACGAGTCACTTCCTCCCACAGTGAACATACAGCCACGTGGGAGACATCAAGGAGGCAGAGAGGAGCAGGATTGGCCGGTAGAGCCGGTTCCTAACTCTCAACAGCCTCAGCCACCACTCTGGACACCAAGGAAGTCACCCTGCAATGTAGGACATGGGAGGTGGGTTTAAAAGTGTAAATTTTGCTTGTGTGTTGCGCAGTGTGGGTGTGTGTGTGTCAGTGTGTCAAAAATAAACAAAGGACCCTGCACACTGATCCCGTGTAAATGCTCCGGCCATCCACAGTGGAGGTGTCAGTATATCTGTGTGTATTAGTATGTCTGTCAGTGTGTGTCCGTCAATATGTCTGTCAGTATATATTTGTGTGTTCGTATGCATCAGTGTGTGTCAGTATATCTGTGTGAGTCTGTGTAGGTCTGTCAGTATGTGTGTGTGTATCAGTATGTCTGTCAGTATGTGTATCGGTCAATATGTCTCAGCATATATTTGTGTGTTCGTATGCATCTATGAATGTGTCAATATGTCTGTCAGTGTATCTGTGTGAGTCTGTGTAGGTCTGTCAGTATGTGTATCAGTATGTCTGTCAGTGTGTGTGTTGGTCAATATGTGTGTTCGTATGCATCTATGAATGTGTCAGTATGTCTGTCAGTGTATATGTGTGAGTCTGTGTGGGTCTGTCAGTATGTCTGTCAGTGTGTGTTGGTTAATATGTCTGTCAGTATATATTTGCGTGTTCGTTTGCATCTATGAATGTGTCAGTATGTCTGTCAGTGAAAATAAGTGTCCAGGGAGAAGGAATAAAAAATTTTTTTATCTTAATTTGTAAACAATTTCATAATAATTCTATAAAATAATTTTAACTTATAAAAATAAATTCCAGATTCCTAACCCCACATATTTACACACACACACACACACACTGCATCCACTACACACACACAAATATATATTCTTGAAAACTTAAAAAAATTCTGTCTCGCATGTATATTTTCTGCATTTACCACTTAAAAAAAGAAATAATTAAATAATAAACATGTTCAGTTAACAGTAACGGTAAATGTACAGATTATCTGTATCGGCTCTAAAAAAATATCAATATCGGTCGATCCCTAATATATACGGAAAGAGAGGTAAAAGGTAAGTAGAATGCCCACTAATCACAGTCCAACCTTGGCCCTACGTATGTGCTCCAATCACGGATACACTCCGATTGCAGTGGGTTCACTCTCAGGGACCTTCACAGAGAATCTCACAGCCAGCTCAGCTCAGCTATTTCCCAGAAGTACAAACATGCAGCAGAATATCCTGTACAGAGATTAATAGATGAAAAGCACTTCCTAGAATCCACTTCTATGTATGTACTCCTTCCCTGGGGGAAACCCCAATGAATAAGGTGGATACCATTGTGTTGTATGTTTGAATTCCTAATGTTCTAGGGTTCCTTCAGCACACGTTATAGGAGATATTGTGTAAACTGCAGAAAAGTTCAAAAAGGATTCACAGTATAAACAATGGATTCACAAATCACTACCTACCTTAAACTTTCCCTCAGGTGAGAAGATGCTGACCCAACGGTTGTCATAATCTGCCACAATAATGTCACCATTCATATCCACCGTTACTCCCGTTGGGCGCTGCAACTGTCCAGGGGACCTGCCACGAACCCCAAAACGCAGTTTAAACAGTCCCTCGTTGGAGAATACCTGCACAGGACAAGGAAGGATGAAAAGGTGTAGTGAGGAAAAAAAAAAAAAAAGACTGGACACAGTAACAAGGGTATGGAAAAAACGGGGGAATGGAAAATAAAAATATGGGGGATGAGGGTGCAGTAAGAAGTAAAGACGTGGGAACAAAATAACAGGGAAGGAAGGTGAAAAGAGAGGGATTTAATTGGAGATAATGGAATAATATCCAATTCATTAAGTCACTACCTGTATGCACTGGTTGTTGCTATCAGCCACCACGATACGATTGCTTCCAGAAGCTGAAATTCCCTGTAAATTGGAAAATTCTCCTTTGTCCCGACCTCGAGCCCCTAATAGTAAGAAAAGAATAGCTGAAGTGCATAGTAAGGTACGTAAAGCTGCTATATCATGTATTTATCATTCACATTCTCAGCTGTACATACTCCAACACACCTCGGCTGCCTTCCAATACTTCATTATCCCGCCTGCCTTCCAATACTTCATTATCCCGCCTGCCTTCCAATACTTCATTATCCCGCCTGCCTTCCAATACTTCATTATCCCGCCTGCCTTCCAATACTTCATTATCCCGCCTGCCTTTCAATACTTCATTCCATGGGAGGCCTTCCAATACCTTCAATCCCCAGCACACATCCCGCCTGCCTTTCAATACTTCATTCCTTTGGAGGCTCTCCAATACCATCATTCCCCGGCACACATCCCGCCTGCCTTTCAATACTTCATTCCATTGGAGGCTCTCCAATACCTTCATTCCCCGGCACACATCCCGCCTGCCTTTCAATACTTCATTCCATTGGAGGCTCTCCAATACCTTCATTCCCCAGCACACATCCCGCCTGCCTTTCAATACTTCATTCGCCCGGCATGTTTGCTCACACTCCAGGCACACTTTGCCACCCTTCCCAGTCCGCTCACCCACTCTCAGGATCATCTCATCCTCTATGGGGTTTTCTTTCTTCTTGTTTGTGCTGTACATACTAGATGGCCGCCTCACAGCCTTTTGCCGTATATGTCCACCACTTGGAGATTTAACTCTCCGTTTTACATCCTCAGGTGAAGCCGGTACATCTCCAGGTTTTACAGCCCGCACTTTGTAGGGGCTCCCTCGCAAAGGTTGGCCATATAAGCGCAAAGAAAGAAAGTGCTCTCCCTCTTGACGCAGAGTGTACAGTACCTCATATGTGCCATTCTTATTATCAGTCACCTCTCCCTCTTGTGCTCCTCCATCAGGGCCAGTTAGCTGGGCCTGCAGGCTGGCATTGCCACTTCGAACCAGTTCTCCATCCTTGTCTTTAGTAGTGACTGTGACAGAGGTTTGGTGTCCAACAAGAGCTTGGCGCAGACCCTCCCCTGTGGCTACTGAAGCATGGGCCACGGCACTGGTGGTAAGGAGGGCACCTAGATTCTGCAAGGATCGACGAAGTCCATCCGTTTCAACTCGGAACTCTAGTTGTGGGTTTTGTTGTGGATGCAGTGGAAATTCTCGGGAGCCTAACTCGCTAAGACGCTCGCTCATCTGCTTCCTAACCAATAAGACCTCAGTCTCTGAGCCATGGCCAAGTGCTTGTTCTGTGAAACGTACACTGCTATCCATGTTATCCAGGCCCTGTCGTAGTGATGTTAGCTGAGCCTGCAAGACCTTCAGGAAGACAGGGACGACATGTGGTGTTATGGTTAGTGTGGCTATCATATATTATGGCTTTACTAGTGATGTTCAAGCGAAAAAAAACAAAGCATTACAAAGCATCACGATTCTGACATTTGCTCAGTGTGATATTTGGCACAAACAATGGACAGTGTTACAAATTAAAAGAAGCTATTTATGCACACTAAGAAAACTGTCAATCTTTCTTAATGACTGATTCAGCAATAACCTTTAAATTTAGCGTACATTATTACAAGCACTAACTTCAGATTTTGACATTAGGACAAATTTAAAGGAACACTATAGTGTCAGGAATACAAACATGTATTGCTGACACTATTTCTAACAGCAATATTTAAGCCCCCGGCCCACCCATCAGAAGTGTAAAATTTTACAAGTTTACTCAAGTTTCTTCCAGCACTGTGTGAGACTTGTCACAATAGGCCCCGCACCACCTCCTTGGCGGAGATCAAACTTTATTATCTCAGCCAATCCAGTGCTTTCCCAAAGGAAAGCATTACGCAGATACTACACATACAGTGTGCACCTCTCCCCCTTTTTATGCTCCCTCGAACACAGACCACCCCTGGCTGTTAACCGCAAACGCGCAATTAGCTCAAGTGCTTTCCCTGGGTGGCCGCCATTTTTATACAAACACATGTGCACTAGAGAATGGCAACCCATTTTGGTCCCGAACGCAGGTAGCTCTCTGTCAACTACGCAATTTGTGGTGTTCCTATATATTTTGGATATGTTTTTGGGTTATTTTGTGAAGGTTATAATCACAGCAGCACTTCCTACAGCTTTGAAGACTCAGCGGAGATACCTAGTCGGGGTTTTGGAGTTCCACAACACACCAAACAACAACATTAAGCTGTAATTTTCATTTTGACTAGTGTTCCTTTAAAGCCATTTTAAATGACAAATGTCATCAAATTTTCACTTCTCACGTTTTAACCCTTGAATGACCAGCAATTGAAGTATGCCATCATATATGTCCTTCTCTGACGTAATAATTCTGTCATGCAGATTTTTACCATCAGGGACCTTTTCCCTGCTGATAACTGGAAATCACAGGTCTCACGTGACGTATGGGGCTCACTCAAAGGAGCGCTGCATACAGCCCTTTAAATCACAGTGATTTAACATTCGGGTTCAATCACGCTAATGGTGACCTAATTTCTGATAGCCAAGATCAAGTGCAGCTAATGATAACAGCAGAGTCTGACTTAACATGGCTGCTCTGCCACATGAGAAAAAATATTTTTCCTTTTTAAATAAAATCAATATACATAATTTAACAAATAACATTACATTTTCATTAACTGTAATAAACCTAAAAAAGTGACTATTTCACAACAGTTGTCCTGGAGAACAAACATCTGGATCTTTTTATAGGGACCAGGTTCAAAGAATACAGATAATTGGGCACAGGGGTGGGTGCTGAAAGGCTGCAGACAGATAATTGAGCACAGGGGTGGGTGCTGAAAGGCTGCAGACCAATAATTGGGCACAGGGGTGGGTGCTGAAAGGCTGCAGACAGATAACTGGGCACAGGGGTGGGTGCTGAAAAGATGCCGTCAGATAATTCGGCACAGGGGTGGGTGCTGAAAAGCTGCCATCAGATAATTGGGCACAGGGGTGGGTGATGAAAGGCTGCAGACAGATAATTGGGCATAGGGGTGGGTGCTGAAAGGCTGCAGACAGATAATTGGGCACAGGGGTCGGTGCTGAAAAGCTGCCGTCAGATAATTGGGCACAGGGGTGGGTGCTGAAAGGCTGCTGGTGGACATTGAAATCAGTCGCAGGATGCATGACCTCCTGTTGGACTCCGTAGTCCCACCTTCTGCTTGGAGACACAGATGGCCTCTAGATCTTGCAGTAAGGAACTCTTTCGATGCTGCAGAGCTCGCTCCAGCTCTTCGAAGGTTGAGCAAATCTCATTGACTGCCGCACTCTTCCTCTCACTTAACTGTCGGCTGATCTCACTCACAAGGTCAATGGCAGAGGTCAGCTGAGGGATTCTGGAGAAATAAAACACCCGAGTATAAAAACATTGTTCTCTCTCCCACAAAGTACACTAAGAGTACATTTCTCCAACTTACCTTGATTTAATACTCTCCAACTGACTTCGAAGTGATGCTTTATGTTGCTCTAGAACATCCCCAAGGGGAACAGTGCAATGCTCCCTGTGCTCTCCCTCTGTACACTCGACGCACATTGCAGTTTCACATGATCCGCAGTAATATTCCATAGTCTGTGAAAATATGGACACAAATGTATGAGACTGTGTGGGTGCACACTCAGAAGGGGAGACTGTGCACTGTGCTGGTGTGAATAACTGATCTCTGCTAATGAGAGCCAGGCTGGTACAGAAAATGAGCCATAATCTAATAAGAAAATTACTTTACAACAATTATTATTTATCATTTCTAAAATGCCAACATGTCAAATTTAGGTAATATAGTCAAAACCTAAATCAAACATGATGGTGGAGGAAGCAGTTAATATAAATTGCAATGGGGAGGGAGAATGTAACACTACCTTTCCCTGGTGGTTGGGGCAGGATAAGGGAGTTCCAGACGGGTGGCCTTCACTCTGTAGGACACTTTGCTCCTGGTGTCCACTTTCAGGGCTACGCTGTAAGACCTCCATCAAGTTTGTGATAAAGAAGTTATTTTGCAGAGCAGAAACCCCTCGTTCTGGTAGAATTGAAGTCTGGCGGCACACGGGACAGGAGAGGGTCAAGCTTTGCGGTGGGATATAACTCTGTAAGCACCTGTATAAAAAAGCAGAGTGTAAGAATTGAAGACAGTAGGGAGAGTACTGACCACTCCACCACCACAACTTCAGCTAAGGGGCTGAACCTTTCCTGGAAACAGGTCATGTCTGGCTTAACCATAACTTTCTAACAAGTACATAGCAATCACACACATTAGCACCTAATTAGCCTCGACGGGGCAGCACAGGACTGCACACTAATATGGAGGGCATTGAAACACTATGAGATGAATATAGCAGGCAGTGATAACACGTTTTTGTTGTTAACAAAATACCAATATTTATTTTTACTGTAAAGAGTTCCCTCCTGCATATTTACAGAGAGGCCTCCCTTTAAGTATAAATGGAGACTAATTACTCACCTTTCATCTTTCGCCACGCCTGTCTCGCCATGGCAGTCTCTCTGCCCCTTGCTGAGATTCTCATCTCTTTTTATTAGTTTTTTTTTTTTTTTAAGTTTATTACATTAAGGGACACTCCAGACCCCTAAAGTACGTCAGCTTGCTGAAAAACTTTATTAAAAAAGGTTTGTTTTATATAGAAATTGGAACTTTTATAAATGAACCTTACACCCCCTTGGCTGTCAATTAGCCAACCGTCCCTGTTACTTGCTGGTTTGGTTAGATCTGCAGCTATTTTTATTGTTACCTCAATGAAAACATAATTAAATGCCTGAATGTTTTCATTTTGGGTAAATCTACTACACAGTGATTTTTATTGATTTTGTATATGGGCAGTGGATTGTTCCTTTAATAAAACATAACTTTAAAAAAAAAAAAACAATGAAAAAAAGATATTGTGTGTCAACCCTTTTGGATCACATTCTCTGTATATCTGCTCAGCCTAATTTGCTGCTGCAGTTTCATGCAGGACAATCACAGCAGCAAGTTAGGCTGAGTCTGATCCAACATGGCTAATCAGCCTCATAAAGAAAGTGACATTTTCTCAAAAAACAAACAAACTATGTCAAAAAAAAAATAATAATTGTGACAGACCCATCTGTCTGGATTATAACTGCGTTGTTCGTCTGTTTTGCCGTTTTCATGAATTTCCCCGTTCGTATGCTTTGTTTAAGGGAATGTCGATTTTGTCGAACGGAACTACCGAACGGACGGCCACCCAGAAGAGAAGTGTGCTGCTGGTTAACCTATTGATCCCAATTAGAACGTTGCGGTTAACCACAGACACTTCTCAATTAAAAACCGAATGCCGGGTGGTCGTCGTTCGTATGTCGACCACGAGGCGGCGGCCATTTTGTCCATGCGAACGACCAGCGGTGTTCAACGATTATTTCATGGATCGGAAAACGGACACTTTTTCAGCCGAACACCGCTGAAGCCGTCGACCTCCCCTTCTCAATCGACAAAAGCATGCGAACGACAGCCGTTCGGGAGATTCAACCACACGAATGGACTTAACCCAGATAGCCGTCCCATGGAGTCAATCGCATACCGAAGAACTGAAAGAGACTTTGACTCCATGGCGATTGAACTGTGCGAATGGGATCTGAGCGCTATTCTCCAATAATGTGCCCTCAGATCCAGGCTATCTGGGGATATGCAAGACTGATGTAAAATGTTCAGCAGTTATTAAGTTATGGATTTTTGTGTGTTTTTGTAACTTGTATCTAAAATGGCGATTGCCTCTGCCCGGGGAGATAATTAAATTACTTCCCAATTATTCCCCGAGCAGAGGGGAGGGAACTGTACTGCATGCTGGGAATATTGTGGGGATGTATGTCCAGAATGTCCCCATGTCCCTCTGTGATTTCAGTCTCCCATTTGGTCCCCTAGGGGAGTGTCCACCAAGTGGGAGACCTGCATAAATACCGGGCAGGTAGCCCACAGTAAACCAGTTCGTGTTTTACCCTCAAAGCGGAGCTTGGTCTCGTTATTGGGGGGATTTGGATACCAGCGGCGAGAGACTGCTTACTTGGATTATTTGCCGCTTGGGAGATATTGTCGTTCGGTTATTAATTGCCGTTCGTGGATTTGCGGCTTGCGAAGGGAATTAGCCGTACAGGTACCGTTCGGGAGTTTGGAGTGTTCCCTGGCTGGCGGTTCGCCTGGTTTTATTATACCCGCTACCCGACCACATTATTGCGAACAGGGAATACTCGCTAAACGGCGGTTTGTACATTTCGTTCCTGGAGGTACCGTAACAACTGGTGGCAGCGGTGGGATGATCCTCAGCGCCCAAAGAAACCACTACAACCGGGACTAAATGGAATTACAGTATCAAAACCTGAGGAGAGCTACCCTAAAGGATTTATTAGAGCAAAGAGGCGGACAAGCCAGTAACCTCAGGAAGAGGGATATTATTACATTATTGCTGGAAATGGATGGGGTACCAGCGGCAGAGGGAACCGATGGACCCAGCACAGCTGACAGAACCCCCGAGGAGGCAAGCTTCGACCGGGCGGTAAGGATCAGGCTGGCCCATTATGGTCCCAACCCAACTACTGAGACTGTCACCCAGGTCATAGCCGCTGTGGAGGCCAACCTGCTACGCCAAAGTGGTGCTGCAGCAGCCCCAGTCACAGCAAACCTGGGAGATAGGAAAAAGGTACCCTTTACAGCATTTAAAGCCTTCAATGAGACAGAAGGAGAAATTGATGGGTACCTTGCTGATTTTGAGCGGCAATGTGCCCTGCACAAGGTACCCCTGGAAGACTGGGTTACTATACTGTCCGGCAAGTTATCTGGCCGGGCCAGCGAGGCTTTTCGGGCCATTCCAGATGAGGAGATTGGGGATTATGGGGCCGTCAGGGAAGCTTTACTCTCCCGGTATGCTGTTACACCTGAGGCGTACCGGAGGAGGTTCAGAGACACGGTTAAAACCTCTGGGGACTCATATGTGGAATGGGCATGTAAGGTGCATCGCACAGCCGCCCACTGGATGGCGGGGTGCCAGGCTGTGTCCGGAGAAGAGGTGCTACAGATGTTCCTCTTAGAACATTGTTTTGACAAATTGCCCACAGGGGTCAGAGAGTGGGTAAGGGACCGTAAACCCTCCACTCTGCACGAAGCAGCTCGCCTGGCGGATGAGTATACCGACGCCCGCAAACTGGACAGTCTCATCAGCAAGGCTCCCGCCAGAGTGGAATACAGGCCAGCAACACCAGCCCCCGCCAACCTATACCAGCCTCCCATGACTCGCCCATCAGCACCTCCTCCATCTGCCCCGTACCAACAGCCACCTAGGTTTAATGCACGGGAGTACACGCAACCCATTCGGTGCTACCTGTGCAAACAACTAGGGCACAAGCGACCCGAGTGCCCGATGAACAGCGCCAACCAGAACCAGTCCTGGCGGAGACCAGCAGGCGGCAACCCCCGACCTCCCCTCCCGGCCGCTCACTGTGTAGAGGAAGAAGAGTGCTGGGGCATCCTGCATGAGGCAGACCCCGTTCAGGCTGCCCACCGGGATAACCGACAGCATCACCGGCAGTGTGTGAAAGTAAACGGGAAGGAGGTCAGTGGTCTACGGGATACCGGGGCAACTATGACATTGCTCCAGAAGCACCTGGTATCCGAAGCCCAACATACAGGGGACACGGTCGCCGTACGAGTAGCTGGAGGTGCCGTGTTCCGTCTGCCCGTTGCCCGGGTACATTTGGATTGGGGAGTGGGCGCTAGACATGTGAATGTGGGGGTCATGAAGGACTTACCAGCGGATGTCCTCCTTGGCAATGACTTGGCGCCCCTTGTTTCCGCCTACGCTCCCATGGGTCCTGCTGAAGTGGACGCTGTCACGACCCGTGCCCAGACCCGTGCCGCCGAGACCGGCCCACCTGCTGTTGAGACCCAGGTAAGACTCTCTACCCCGACTTGTACCTTAGACCAGGCCCCTTTAGGCTGGGATACCCCAGAGATATACGGGAAGGAAACCAGGGAAGACCCGACGCTAGCAAAGTACAGGGCCAGGGCCGATTCTGGGGGAGAAGGAGTAGATGGGGAGCACTACGAGTGGGTGGGGGATAGACTCTACAGGATCCCGAAACCGCCCCAGAAGCCGAATACCCCTCCGCAGAATCGACAGCTAGTGGTGCCCGCAAAATACCGGCAGGAGATTCTGCGGATCGGGCATGATGTGCCATTAGCCGGCCATCTAGGTTCCCGCCGCACAGCTCATAGGATCACGCAAAATTTCTTCTGGCCCAATTTTAACCGAGATGTGTAGAGGACACTGGGAGGGGGAGACAGAGCAAGAAGGGACCCCATAGTACCATATGTCCTGGAACGGTCTATTGTAGCACGTGTGACACCTGTCAACGGGTAGGTAAGCGGGGGGATCACCCAAAAGCTAGGCTCCAGTCGATGCCTATCATTGGAGAACCCTTTTCCCGCATAGCCGTTGACATTGTGGGTCCACTGGCCAGGGCTAGTCCATCAGGTAAGAAGTATATTCTCACCGTGGTGGACTATGCCACACGTTACCCAGAGGCAGTAGCGCTGTCTAATATAGAGGCAGAGACGGTTGCTGATGCCCTGGTTAAAATCTTCACTAGGGTCGGGTTCCCTCAGGAGATCCTCTCCGATCAGGGAACCCAGTTCACCGCTGTGCTTACCCAGCAGCTGTGGAAGGTGTGCGGTATTAAACCTCTGCTTAGCTCACCTTATCACCCACAGACTAACGGTCTCTGCGAGCGATTTAATGGCACCCTCAAACAGATGTTGAGGACCTTTACTGACACTTGCAGAGACTGGGAGCGATTCCTGCCTCATCTGCTATTTGCATACAGAGAGGTGCCTCAGGAATCTACTGGGTTCTCCCCCTTTGAGTTACTCTATGGGAGAAGGGTCCGTGGACCCCTAGATCTCATTAGAGGACACTGGGAGGGGGAGACAGAGCAAGAAGGGACCCCCATAGTACCATATGTCCTGGAACTCCGGGACCGCATGGAGAAACTGTCCCTGATGGTAAGGGAGAATCTCCAGGCGGCCCAGGGGAGACAGAAACGGTGGTACGATCGGGGTGCCCGACAGCGGATCTTCCAGGTTGGGCAGAAGGTTCTGGTACTCAAGCCTGTGAAGACGAACAAGATGCAAGCATCTTGGCAGGGCCCGTATAAAGTGTTAGCTCAGGTATGCGATACTACCTACCTTATAGCCAGCTGTTCAGATGAAAGGATTCAGCGATCCTTCCATGTGAACATGCTGAAGGAGTATCAGGAGAGACCAGAGGATGTTGCGGCAGTATGTGCCCCAGCTACTGACGACCCCGAGAACTTACCGTTACCTGACTTGCTAGAGAGGGACCCCCAGACAGACCTTACTAGTCTTGTACAGCTAGGGGACCGACTAAACCCGGCAGAGAAGGTACAGGCAAGACAATTACTGTGGGAGAAGCAGGCCACGTTCTCCCAAGAACCCGGGTACACTACCCTAGCTGTACACAAGGTCGAGACACCCGGACAGAACCCC